ACCTTCATAGGCAACTATAAGTTTCACTGCAGCTACACAGGTTCATATAGGAATCAGTAGACCTTCATAGGTGCCTATGAGAATCAAGCTTCCAGTAGTGTCTATAGGTATTTCTACACCTTCATAGGTAGCTACAAAGCTCCTTAGAACTACACAGGTACCATAGACATCACTAGACCTTCATACGCACCTATAAGTTTCACTGGAGCTACAAAGGTTCATATAGGAATCAATAGACCTTCATAGGTGCCTATGAGAATCAAGCTTCCAGTAGTGTCTATAGGTATTTCTACACCTTCATAGGTAGCTACAAGGTTCCTTAGAGCTACACAGGTACTATAGACATCACTAGACCTTCATAGGCAACTATAAGTTTCACTGGAGCTACATAGGTTCATATAGGAATCAATAGACCTTCATAGGTGCCTATGGGGATCAAGCTTCCAGTAGTGCCCATATTAATTTTCTAGACCTTCATAGGTAGCTACAAGGTTCCTTAGAGCTACACAGATTCTACAGCAATCACTAGACCTTCATAGGTACCTATAAGTTTCACTAGAGCTACACAAGTACCTATAGGAATCACTAAACCTTCATAGGCACCTACGAGTATCAGACTTCCACTGGTACCCATAGCACTCATTAGACCTCCATAGGCATCTATAGCAATCACTAGTCCTTGCCCTATAGTAATGCAATGAAGTGTATAGCCTTTAAACATCACTAATACTCCTCAGTAACCTCTAGGCACCTCTACAGATGTTTCTATGTATCATAATAATCCTCCATACTCTCAAACATCCATAAGAACCCATAAAGAATCCTACACCGTCCCAAATCTTCCTAATTGTCACCTTTGTATATCTATCGCGATCCACAGTACCAGAGCCCCAAAGCAAGCAATTATCAAACAGCAACCGCTTTGCTAAACGATGTCCGTCGAACAGAACACGGAGTGAAACACCTAGCGTATAAATGCGTTCTCACGCGGCTAATTACACGTGTATATACGTCTTAATTTATCTACAGGCTGTTTCAAAACAAACATCGTTTGGAACACCCTGTTCTCTTAAAGGTTCCTCTTGTGATCTTTCAAAGTCGCAGGTTTGTTGAAGCTTTCTAACATTCCCAAAAATTGAAATCATTATAAGCATTTTATATTCACTAGTTTGTAGGAAAGATCACAGAGATGATTCATCAAACGCGAGTCGAATCTTTCAAAATTTATCCCTCTTTTTTACTTTCTTCTTCAAAATGTCGAATTGACTCGGGCTCGATTAATCGATACGAGTATCAACCTTCAAGCTCAAGTAACGATTGTATACTGGCAACGTTTCTTTGCGAACGTTTATAAATATCTCATAAATTGATTAACATATCTGCTCGTTAAATACATTCTTCACTTATGGTATAAAGTTTTTACATAGCCCCTATGTCGGCTCGAGTGTAAATCGTTCTTGATATACAAATACATGTAACTGACTACGCTATTAAACAGCTTACGAGTAGCATTTCTTACAAGATAATTGAATACGTTAGCTCGCTAATCGACATTGACTTCACAGGAGTAGTTACGCAGTTTCGTAATTGTCTTTCGAAGACCTAGCTTTCGAGTCTTCCGAGGAAGAGTCGCCCTTAATGACACCGGTATTTTGTGCGCAGCATTTCGTGTCACCCTCGAGTAAAATTAATCGCATTAAAGCTCTGACTTAACAAGTTACAGTTCATATTTGACAAATAGTCATTTGGAAGTAATAATAGTCATTTGGAAACTTATTAATTTAATAAAATTTATGTCCACACTGAGAATTTATATCAGCAAAGAAACATTTTGACATAGAAAGGGTTTACTCGAAGGTTTCACGTACTTAACGTGTACAAACTTTACAATCGTCGCCTACACGTGAAAACACGATCTACTCCTAAGTATTGACTACATGTATTGACTCGCGCGTAGAAAACCTTTAAATTATCCACAACTTTATAATTCTTACGCTTTAGACACTGAACACTACCTACTGTTGATTCTCTTCTCGCAATACCTATCTCTTCATAGAAAGTACATAAAAATTGGTCAATTTCGTGAACAAAATGTATAACATTTAGACATTCAACTTTAAAACTAAATAGTTACAATAACAAGTTGTTTTTTAAATAAAGATATAACTTATGATCGACAGCTTGTATTATATATAAGCCTATGTATAATAATAAAGAGAACCTTCTAATAAAAAGAAGAAAATAATTCAGAGTATAGGTATTTCACATCATCGGTTTAGAAAAATATCTTCGTCGAACACGTTCTAAGATTCCTGATTGTCCGTTTGATTTACTTCATCGTTTCGGTGCGTTTAGTGCTCTCTGCTATAACTATTTGCACACATCTAAGCTAGATTTATATACTATGAAGGGCAGAAGCTTAGTTTACTATTTTATCGATACAGTCGCTGGCGGATACTGGATTTTCAACAGAACAATAATTTAATTCAATCCGAACCTTCCTAGAATTATTCTGCAATGTTTGGAACTTGATTGAAAATTATTCTACTTAAACGTTTTAACAATTTTAGAATTTCTTGCATTGTGTCTATAGTATCCGCCATTTTAACATTTTGGAACACACGCACGCTCACACATATACACACATAAAGGTTACGCTTTAATTTATGTTAGCCTAAAGTGCTTACATGCTAGTTTATTGTCCATGTTGGAACATTTCCTAATATTATTTATTGTCTGCTCACACAGCATTGTCGGTTATTATTAATTTACATTAATTCCTCGCTTATAACTAACTGTTGTCTGGATACTAAGGAAGACTTTAATACTCTAACGCGTTTCATCGGGGAAGAAAAGTGAGCACTTCACAGGTATCATGGAAACCAGTAAAATATTAAAAAGCAAGAACAAGCTTTAAAAACAGATCAAGCTTTAGAAGATAAATACTTTTGAAGCATGGTAATTTTTCCCTAAGAAATTTTGTAGAAACATTTTGTAGAAACAGCATTTTATATAAGAAATGTCTAACGAATTGGAATGTAAAGAAGCCAGAGAGTTTCAGTTGAAAGAAGAAAATACTTTTGCGGCCTTGTATTAATTTTTCTATGAAAATTTATAAAAAATTGAGCATGTTCAAGTCAGAAAAATAAGAGACCAGCTTTAAAGTTTTGAAAGGATCCAAAGAAGAATTAAAGTTTGTAATATAAAATTTTCAGATAATCTTCTCTTGAGTAAAGCAAAGTGGGAATAGAAAAATGGATCACAAAAACGAGGTCGATTATTGTCCTGACCAACAATACCGCTAATCTTATCGCTTAGAAAAAGTCTAAGTCAATTAGTAAGGCTCCTAGTTTTCATCGTAAACAATATACATCCAGTACAAAGTATTAGTCGCATTAAAAACTATTCTCCATCTGCGGGTGCGGATCAAAAAAGTGCTGGTGCAGAATATTGTCCCTAGAATTCAGTCAACATGTCTTTAGCCTAGAATCTAAACTAGCTATCCTAAGAAACTAACTTCATTGCGCTATTGTCACTCTAGAAGCCTCCTTATGTTCGTTTTTTATCACTAATAGTATGGCTGGTGTTTCGATCACTTTTTGAATGATCGAACCATAAGCGGAGATTATATCGATACATATTCGAAGCTTTAAAAATTGGAGCTGAGTTATTTTGATTAGTTACATATGAAGATTGTAAGAGAATTTAATATTTAAGTATTAAAGTGTAACACTATAAAATGAACAAATTATTAATGTGAACAATTGCAGAATATTGTCAGATATTTGTTGTGAATTAAATCTAAAGAAAACATGAATTAAAATAGATTCACTCAGCTCCAATCCTAACACGTACATATATTATATTTTTACATACTCGTATATGTTTCTGCCTTTAGTATAACACATGTAACTCTAGACACGTATATCATAGTATTCTTACGTTAAGAAACACGTACCTTAAATTAGTTATCGATAATTAACATTCTAGACCCTTATCTATTGTTAGTACACAAATGCATCTCATGCAGTATGTGCAGGACATCGCCTACACCGGGTGTGCGTTCATAAAATTCGTACAAAATTATCCACGTATTTTTTAATGGTTTCTTCTTCGTTTATCCAGTGCGACTCGAATAAAAAACGCACACCCTCATCGCCACTTTGTGGCACGATAGAAAATGTATTATATCTTTTTTCAATCGCATCTGATGCGACATGTTCATTTGCCTTCTATGCTTCTGGTAATTTATAAACGTTCCTAAGATGGGGATGAGGTTTGACTTTCTAGAAAATGGCGACGAAAGCTCGTTTATTTTCCCAAGCTTTCTTCCCTCGTAATATGTTTCCATTTATTTCACCGTTGTTCGCATTCTTATTTAGGTTATCGAGATGTTTACAATTTAATGGAAAGTCTAGAAATTGATCGATGTAGAACAGTATTGCGTTCGCTAGATTCTAAAGTAAAACATGTGGAAATTTAACCTATTACCATTAATTAATTATACAAATTAATTTTTACAATGCATAATTTTCTCTTACAAGTCAAACAGTAGAAATAAAGGTAAAAATCTTTCAGTAAGGTGCTATATCTTTTTTACTCAACTCGTGAAAAATGATAAAGTCCCTGAACTACACCGATCAATTATAGTCATTGAAAAAAGAGGAATGAAATGAGATCGAGAAACTTGATTCTTGTCAAGAAACGAGAGTTTCGATTAAGCAGAAAAATATAAAAACTTTGAGTTCTAAAATGTTCGAGGCTTCCTGTATTGTCTTTAAAGTTCGATGAAGGTACAAGATCTCAAAATATATTATTCGAAAGGGAACACGTGTCGAGTACAATTTTCTCCGTAATAAAGTGAAACCTTTGCCAGAAACGCAAACAACTATAACTGTACCTAACTATGTGTATATACTTAGTAACAAAGTTCCTTACAGCATCGACTAGAAAGTACCCACAGCTTATTGTCGCTAACAATTATTGTCTTAACATTACGTTTAATTAAATCTTAGAGCCAGTGGATTCTTCATCTTCTTTTATAGCTTCTTCCATCTTCTTTTAGACTTCTTTAACCCATACCCATGTCAGAATATTTAGCTATTTCGCTCTGGATCCAGGGCACGTATTTTGGCACGTACGCATAAACACCTGGTAGTTTTGGTTGGGCACAGTTAATTCCCCAGCTTACTATACCAGCGACGAACCATTTCTCTTTGTCGTGTTTGTCTTGACACAGCAGAGGACCTCCTGAGTCACCCTGTCATAAAAATGAGATAACCTTAGTTATTTTAATAACTAACCTTATTAGGTGTTAATAATAAACTAGTCATTTGTAAATGTAATAAGAAATACTAGCAAATAGATTGCAGTGATCTAAACTCACTTGGCATGCATCTTTCCCTCCATCAGGATAGCCAGCACATATCATTCCATCGGTTACATTCACAGCTAGCCACTGATTACAGATCTTTCTGTCCAGCACTGGTACCTGGACTTCGTTTATAGATGGCTCATATTCTGATGCTGCAATAATTAATTTTATTAAACGATGTTGCTTGTAATCGATTCAACTTGTGATACATACTGTCAGTGTCGTTCTTCTTGCCCCAACCTATCACTGTGCACAATGTCCCAGGTGCGAGGTCCATGTCCATACTTGGCAGACAGACTGGCCTCAGATGTTCGTGAAACTGGACTCGCTTTTCTAACTGGAGAAAAATATTGATTTTATAAAATCAGACTATTATAATATTTTATAGGAATCAGACTATTGTAATATTTTATCAAAATGAGACTATTATAATATTTTATATGAATTCAAGTGCTTCAGTAATTATTGTAGTTGTTATGTGAAGCATTTACCTGAAACAGAGCCACGTCGTTGTCTTGAGCAACGCCCAAATTGTAATTAGGATGAGGAACCACAGTCTTCACCTTCAGTTTCTGTCCGAGATAAGTATGAGAGTGTCTCCTGGTGACACCCAGTTGTATTGTCCATCCGGATACGTCGGTGTAGCTGAAACTGCGGAGCTCGATATAAAAATATCTAAAATAATTTCAGCTGCTTAAAGATATCTGGTAACCAGTCATAGAAGTATGACAATTATGACAGTCATAGAAATAAAAATGGACTCACTTTCCCACGCAGTGCGAGGCAGTCAGAACCCACTGATCGGCAATTAAGACACCAGCACAATAAAAGATCTGTTCGGGTCCTCCGAGAAGAGCTGCCAAGAACGGCCAATCACCAGGCGACGATTCCACACCACCCACGATCCGTGTTGTTATCCTAGCGTTTCCGTAAATCGTCCTCCTTCGTCCACACGCTGTAATTAAATAAATTTAGAATTAGATGAGGAAATGATTACCTAGGTAATTAAGATTGGTTACCGTATTCTGAACAGGTTAGCTCAACCGTGGGATAGACCTCCAGATCCGTGATACAGTCTTGAAATCCTTTGAGAAGGTTCTTGGGCTCGCCTTGAGTGATATTGCTGTTCTCTTGAGCTATCACCCTCGCTGATACTGCAACCCTGGAACGATTTGAAAATTGGTGATTCATCGCTTTTATATTCTGCAATATCATACGATAACCCCCATAATTTCTGAAGAATGTGCTTAAGCTGTGTTACAACGAAAAATGCTGATCTATTACAAGGAAAAATGCTGATCTATTACAACGAAAAATGCTGATCTATTACAACGAAAAATGCTGAATCTATTACAACGAAAAATGCTGAATCTATTACAACGAAGAATGCTCAGTCTATTACAACGAAATTTACAGTAATGAATTTGTACGTCCAAACTGATAGAGGATAAAAATATTGAGATGTCAGAATTTGCATACAGAGTCAAAGTTTCCGATTAAGTTAACAATCGAAGCAGAAATTAATGGCTCTTACGTGTAGCCCAGCATGGAGCAGATTGTTTTAGCAGAGTTTGGCTCCCAATGCGAAATGCAGGCCGGCATAAATTTGCCCATCTCCGCATGATAAACCTCTAATCTTCCTTCACCCACGTCTCCGTTCCGCTGGCTCAGATTCACTGCAACAGAAGGTGGCAATATAACTACTGTATTCAAATTGACCAAAGTTTCTTCGACCGAACAGCTGCAATTTTCGGATGCAATTTTTGCAATGTTTATCACATGATAATTTAAAAGAAGGTATATGTGATAATCGTATTACGTAGCAGCTACAAAATTTAAATTATAAAATTGAACATTCATATGCTGAATAATTATGAATTACTTAATTCATGTGTGGTAATATGGCTGACTGAAGTTTTATGATTAATGATGATATAATATGTAAGAAAATATAGTATATTAATGTATAATACAGTATAATATAACTGACTGAAGTTTTATGATTAATGATGATATAATATGTACGAAGACATAGTATATTACTGTATAATACAGTATAATATAACTGACTAAAGTTTTATGATTAATGATGATATAATATGTACGAAGATACAGTATATTACATTATAATACAGTATAATATGACTGTCTAAAATTTTATAATTAATGATAATATAATATGTAAGAAGAAACAGTATATTACTATATAATACAGTATAATATAACTGACTAAAATTTTATAATTAATGATGATATAATATGTATGAAAATATAGTATATTACTGTATAATACAGTATAATATAACTGACTAAAGTTTTATAATTAATAATAATATAATATGTAAGAAGACACAGTATATTACTGTATAATACAGTATAATATAACTGACTAAAATTTTATAATTAATAATAATATAATATGTAAGAAGACACAGTATATTACAGTATAGTACAGTATAATATAACTGACTAAAGTTATTATAATTAATGATAATAATAATATGTAAGAAGATACAGTATTACAGTATAATACAGTAATATACTATACAGTATGTTATAGTAATGTATATATTATACAATAAAGAGTAAAAATATATTTACAGCAGTATCGTTCATCCTGTCCCCAGGGACAGTCCATGATCCCGTCGCAGATAAGACTGGCAGACATGCACCTTCTTTCGCCGCAGTGCAACGGCGACTTGGGCTCGGTGTTTTTCGCCAGAATGGGCTTCTTGACAATCTTGGTGTTGAATGTGGAAACCGAGGTGGAGGAGGAGGAGGAGAGGGTGCACTCGCCGCATCCAATCTCGTCGCTATGATCGGCACAATCCAAGTGGCCGTCGCATCGCCAGTCGGCCGGAATGCACCTGGTCCGATCGCATTGGAAACCGCTGGTGCATACTGTACAAGAAACAGCCAAATGGTGTTCCCATTTTGTCGACATAATTTCACCATCTACCTAGTCTCCTTTTTCTCTCTTCGCTTACCCGTCTTTCGAACGATGAGACACGATGATGTCGATGCGAACGCACGAACTGGCAAATGGAACATGAAAATGAACTATGAAAACGGGGGGCTTGGATGTGGATATTATAGCCTTTATGGGATAAGAACAGATACCGCGATAAAATGGCATAATGTTTCCTTCAAAACAAATGTAGATAGAAAATTTTTTAATGAGAACATACAAAGAATTTCTAAAGAGTATATCGATATGTTTGAAAGCAAAGTATCTACTGAAAGTCTCCAGTTAAAAACTTCTTGCACAAAATGCATCCTCGTTTCAAAATCATAAAGAGATCTAATAAACGTTCTTATGAAAATGTCTGCAATTTTACCGACCAGGTCTAATAAATGAAAGATAAGAGTATCGTTTCTTCTTTCGTAAAATGAGGATACAGTTTCGTTCGTAATAAATGTCCTCCACCGCAAGTACATCATGACATCGTGTTCAAGATACACAGCCCGGTGCAAACTCCATAAAGCGACTCCGTGCTGAAGATGGGTCCACGAGCGGCCGTTTGATATAGATTTTGCAATTAAGATTCCATTAGCGGCGACATGTGCCGTGTGGCGAAATCATAACGAAAACTGATGGAGACGTGTTTGATTCGACACATATTTCTTTTTTTCAATATTTGCACAATTGAAAAACGTTTTATGTTCGTGTCGGGAGATGGAGTATTCTGAGTTGGATTTATGTAGAAATTTTTTTTGAGGCATCACGTTTTACGAATTAATATGAAGTTGAGGAAATAGAAGAAGAGAAAATATGAAGTTGAGGTCATAGAGTGCGTTACGAATTTAATATAATGGAATAGTAAAATAAAAAGGTACTGTTAATAAATCAGGGAGGTAATTGGAAAATGCGAGGATTTGATGCTGAATATGTAATTATAGCGGATTGTATGTAGTAATCAAGGTGTTAATATTACTTTGTGGCGCACTAATCACCGATGTATCTACTGTGGCGGCGAACGTGTCGATCAGTGTCACTGCTTCAGTGAATCCAGACGGTACGTAGCCAGACAAGTAGAACAACCGTATGTATTCCGCGTCGTGCTAATTTCTCGCATTTCATTTCTCCAAATATTAAAAATACGAGCAAATGTTGCATCCAGTTACCATATATTATAATTATCACACTTACTCGAAGACTTCAAATAACATAATTAAAATTAGAATTTTTAACAAAATTTAGTGTGTTAAATATCTGAAACTTATTTAAATCAGTACTTAAATCAGTATTTAAATCATTACTGATCAAGTAATCTAAAGACACATTGCAACAAAAATACAAGAAAATCTGATTTTCTGCAAAGAAACGTCTTCGAGTAATTTTCATCGTGGCTCACCTATATTCCCAGCTATAGTCCGGCTGCCCCGGTGAGATTATTTTAATCCCACGATTATCCACCTCTTTATCAAATGCCCGGACTTTAGTCAGTAGGCTTATCCCCACCGAAATGGCCGGATAAATGGCTACGAAGGCCTTGAACGAAAATGACGAATCGCCCGTGACCGCGTGCTTCGATTTATACAGATCGTCCTCATTAAAGATTCCGTCCCTTAATTTCAATCTTTCTGTTTCGACTTTAATCTACGTACGCTAAGAGTAATACTTTCTTATTGATATTTTCTGGGTCGAAAGCTTCAGTCCACAATACGAAACAGGCGGAATTTTATTACGAGTCATTGTTCTAAATTGATTTTTCGACATCTCTGAAGGGTACAGATTACCTTTACACGAATTCAGAACCGTCTGCAAATACAGAATTATTTGGAACTGTTCGCAAATTCATACGATCGTACAATTATGTACATATACTGTATTAAATATTTATGAACGATCTGTTGTATAAATTGACTTTTATCTAAATTGATTTTCTGTTATGAGATTAGCTTTAGACAAATTTAGAAACGTCTACGAATATAAAATTACTTAGAACAATTTTTTGTAAACTCATACGATCCTATAATTATGTACATACATGTATTAAAAATTTATAAACGATCTGTTGCATAAATTGACTTTTATCTAAATTGATTTTCCGCCATCAGATTACCTTTAGTCAAATTCAGAAACGTCTTCAAATACAGAATTATTTGGCACTATTTGTAAATTCATACGATCATACAATGATGTGCATGCATTTATTAAAAATTTATAAACGATCTGTTGTATAAATTGATTTTTCGTCATCTCTATACAGACTACTTTTAAACAAATACAGAATTATTCAAAGCTATTTATAAATTCATTCTATCCTACAATTATGTACATACATGTATTAAAAATTTATGAACGATCTTGTATATTCAAATCGAATGAATCACGCCTTGCAGAGCTCAAAGATATTTGTATCTAGTCGGTCATACAAGATACATATATGAAAGCGTTTTTTCACGGAAAGTGAGTTACGGGCAGCTTAGAGAGCGCATAATCGCGGGAGCGTAAAAAATGACCTCAACACGGCGCGACACGTTTTTGCCGTTTCGATCGCGAAGGTTTAAAAGGTTGACACAACTCACCGGGTTTCTCTGCTCTTTCGGCTGCCTCCAGTACTTCCTGATGGCCCACGCACTCGTCGGGATTGGAATTCTCGGGGAACAAATCGCATTCCAGGTCGTCCGGAAGAGTTAAGCCGAACACGTTCAGGAAAAATCCGCAACGTCTCTTGGTTTCTGGACAGAAAAAATCTCTTCGTGATACGAACATTTTTTTTTAAAGTGTCACTTATTTATGTTGGTATAATATCTTGCTAACTGATTAACCTCTTAAAATGAAATTTTCTGGACAGTTACATTATGTACCTAATTAATTGTTCATACAATGTGAAGTCAACTGAGGAAAATTAGAATGATAGGTATTTATGCATTTAGCAATTCTGAATCACAGAGATTATAATTAAAATTGAACCCAAAATTTAATTGCAACGAAAATACAAGACTAGTCCACAACATTCAAACGTTAATGACTTGTGTGCGTCACAAGTCCGTCATTACAAAACAAGGGGTTAATGAAAAATATAAATTACATAGCTTAAAATATGATTGTAAGTATCTAAAAATTTGTAAAGTATCTCAAAAGCAACTTACATCGAGTGGTTGAAATTTGAGTAAAATAAAGGAGAATTGTTTGAAATATTTACCGAAGCAGAGGCTTCGGCAGGGTTGCACGATGTGTCCCCGTGATCCACATTTCGGCACAAAAACACTGCACAGGAACAGGGCGGCCAATTCATAGCATCTGACGTCGATCACAGCGTCATAATGTTCGAGGGCGTGCTGAGCCTCGCGCTGTGCGACATTACCCATGTAATTCGGGAACACGGTGAAATTATACGGAACCTGAGGGAACACGCGACCAAGATGTCACGTAAATACTCCTCGGTTATGAGTGACATAAATTAGAACGAAAATGTTTAACCCCTCCTCTCTTTCTGAGGGTTGTACAAAATGTCGACTGTGAAATTGTAAAAATCATACAAATAATCTGGCTGACCATAAAATTATTATGAAGATCGTACAAATAATGTAACTGATCATGAAATTATTGTAATGATCGTATAAATAATCTAGCTGACCATAAAATTATTATGAAGGCCATACAAATAATGCAGCTGATCATAAAATTATTTTAAAGATCATACAAATAATCTGGCTGACCATAAAATTATTATCAAGATCATACAAATAATGTAGCTGATCATGAAATTATTATGAAGATCATATAAATAATGTAGCTGATCATGAAATTATTTTAAAGAGCATACAAATAATCTAGCTGACCATAAAATTATTATGAAGATCATTTAAATAATGCAGCTGATCATGAAATTATTTTAAAGATCATACAAATAATCTAGCTGACCATAAAATTATTATGAAGACCATACAAATAATGTAGCTGATCATGAAATTATTTTAAACTTCATACAAGTAATCTAGCTGACCATAAAATTATTATGAAGATCATATAAATAATGTAGCTGATTATGAAATTATTGTAACGATCATACAAATAATTTAGCTGAATATAAAATTACTATGAAGATTGTACAAATAATGTAGCTGATCATAAAATTATTAGGAAGATCATACAAATAATCTATCTGAGCATAAAATTATTTTAAAGATCATATAAGTAATATAGCTAACCATGAAATTATTATAAAGATCATAGAAATAATATAACTCATCACAAAATTATTATGAACACCCATCTGACCATAAAATTATTGTAAAGATCATATAAATAATGTAGCTGCGAAATTATTGTAAAGTACATATAGTAATCACATAAATAATCTAAACGAACACGAAACGATCGAATAAATTCCACAAACGATCCACATATCAAATGACCGTTAAAAATCTAGCAGATCACACGTGGCCGCAACCGAACACCGCTAGCATCGTTTTAATTCGATTCGATGAATCTGGAGAATCCAATGGACAAATTCCTGACGAGATTATTGGAAATGATTTCAGTGAGAGCCACGCATGGCACGTCGTGAATTGACGAATTACGTAAACCGATTTTGCATAAAATGTACCTTGTGGTGCTGGCAGAATGTCACGATCACAGGTAGACACACTCCGGGTGCTGGATTTTTCTGTTCGATCGTCGCTGGCGTTCGTTCTATCAACGCCATCACGTTGCTGTAGATCGTTTTATTTTCCAGGCGTATTACGGTCTCTAGGTATGCTGTGAAAATTTAAGAATATAAGTTTGATGAGATTGTTCTGAGTATGAATATGTTGGTAATTTAAAGTGAAAAAAATTTAAGTACTCGTAAAAATTTAATTTACTTGATCTCTCGAGTAACTAATAAGATCTCTAATAAGACTAACTAAACTCTAGTAAAATCGTATTTGAAGGAGTTTTAATAATTTCAAATGATTTGTGATAATAAAGGTACATTAATGAAATCGTTTTAAATTTAACCCCTTGCCTTACAATTTATTTGCCAGATGCGTCAGTCAAAACTAACTATTCATAGTTTTAATATTAAAACAAACAAAGAAAATTAAAATGTTTATGCATTTTCTATTCAACGATCCTTGACTCTACAGATTGTAGTTGGACCTAATTTTCAAGTTGAAGAGAATTCAAAATTTTGGACAAGGTAATGTCACATTTAAATTGTGAGTGTGTCACGAGTGAGACTCGTCAAAGTATGGCAAGAGGTTAATCTATCACAAGTGGTTTATTTTGAAGTGGTCTATTAAGACATAATTGTTGATATAATTGGCAAAATTGTGTTACAGGAAGAGTAGCTTTATCGATTGAATGTACTCACACTTGAAGTATATGGCCAAACCCCCAGCTATGATCAACAACGCGACGGCGTTGAAGAACACCTGGACGAACCTGAGACGAAGTCTTCCCGTGGTCACATACCGACTGTTTGCCATGTCTCTGATGATCTGAAACCAAAATAACAAACAATATTACAAGATAGTAACAATATTACAAGGATCAGTGTATACAATTCCTGATTTCCAATTTAAAGCTACATAACACAACAAAAGCTTGAAGAGGATTAACATTACGAATAAACAACCTGAATTTGCAACGTTCTGTACAATGATTACAGTTACAATAAATATTATAAAACAATACAAAAGAAGAAAAGTAAAATAAAATAAATGAATAATTCCGAAACGAGAAACACGAAAATCAGTACTGCAATATCCGAACCCGAGAAATTTCATCATCCCTTCTTGTACAAAGCATTCCGTAATCAACACCTCGGATAAACGAATTTCTCCAACGACAAAGGGAGGCTATCCCGTTTGATTACATAACTCGCTGTCAGTACATCTGGTTTGCAGATTGACACAAATATTAATTTCCAAATATTCGATCACTTGAACCGGTTCGCAACTGAATGTTTGAGGAGGTCAACGTTGATTACGCAGTACCCTTCAACAACCAGATAATATCGATTATAATGTTCCCGCGGTCGTATCGCTCTATCAAAGGACAAATTACGTCACTTCGTTCAACGACCAGGTTTGCCAAAATTCCTGGCGTGTGTACGGCTTCGCGAATATCCGACGAAAGTGCTCTAGCGGTGGCTGAGTAATTAGCCGAACAATTACCCGCTTTGAACTTTCAATTTTCCGACGTATTTCGAACGAATGCTACAAAATACAATAATGGACATACTGGTTTCTCAAACTGGATCTTTGAAGTTGATCTTTCGATCAGACTGACTTTAACCTCTTGTAGTATTGAGACTCGTGGTGCACTTATGGTTTGGATGCAATAAATCTTGCTTGAATATTTAATACATTTCAAACTGAACTTCTGGTCGAATTATAATTTGTAGAATTAAAGACCATGTACAAAATAGCCATCACACATCACATGACTTTCTTTAATGATTTTAATAATATTTTTTGATAATTACTTCTGACTGACACACCTGACAAATTAATCCTATAATAAGGAGTTAAAGGTACCCTTGTACCAAGACTATATTGCACCCTTAAATATTTCACCAAATAAGTGATACAATTATGACAGAAAGTAATTATTGACACAAGCTAAAATTTGCAAAATTATATATAAAAATAAGTGTAACAGTAAATTAAGGGATATGCCATGAAAATAAATTTTGAACACACACCCTATACAAATATATCTCGATCCGAATATTCTGTAACAGCAGAAAGTTTCTTGCAAAATGTACCGGAAACCGATAAATTAAGCGAAACGTTATTTCCGAAGAGTGAGAGTATAATCAACGATAAAAGGGGGAAAAAAAAAGCAACAATAACCAGTCGATGAAGGGGAAATAAACGTTGCATCCTCGTTCGATCTTGGCCGGGATTTCTGCGTTTATTATCGCGCGGTCCATTTTCGACGCTAATAACAGGAACGGTTCGTGTAAAATGATATCGGCCACTACTCGATACGGGCTTCGATATTGGCCGATATCGAGCTCGTAACTCGACAAGAACCCGCGCTTCCCCATTTCCCCCGATCGCGAACAAAAGGAGTAAATGACGCGAGTTATCGATCCCCATGGAAACGCGCGATTTCGTGTTCGTTTATTCCGCGTACGAGCTGTTCCAGGTTTATTCGTGCCGCGATTATCTAACGGGCCATATTTGTACCATCTTTTTCCTCCGAACTACAACGGGATTTACCCCGCATGGTCTTATCGATCCCATATTGCAATGGTACACTTTCAAGGGATTTTAGCTCAAAATAACTTATCGAAAATCTTGCATATTTCAATAATCGCACGAGTGCATATGTAGGTCTTTAGTACAGAAATTTGACTCGAGGGAGATCAACTTCCAGATACAACATATGAACTAGTCTCTAACAGAGCATGTCAATTCCTGAAGGGAATTGCCTGACCCTTAACGAATCTACACGTGCATCAGGGTTACGTAACATTGGCGTGGGAAACGGTAACGCAATCGATAACTCGAGCAAAAGAATTAATCGCCCCTTTTTCGTGTTACGTAACATCTGCGCATTGAAATCGTCGCGTCGAGGTCTCACCTTGTGATGTAACGAGCTGTTATTACCGCCGTGAACTCTGACGATCGCCTGTAAGCTGGCCGGGGTGCTGGTCGATTTTGTTATTGTCCTGTTTGACGAATTGTCTGGCTCTGACACTAGTGCCCTATCTAAAAATTCACGAGAATAATACAATTACTGATAACGTACGAATGTCTTGATGTCGATTTGCTACTATTCAGGTGCTGCTGAGATGGACACTTAGCAACGTAGTATCTGATCAACACATTCTCGTAATTATATGTATTATGCACATAACGGTATAACATCGACGTTCACCATCGACATATTGGCTCATGTAGATTAGTGATATGAATGTTCTTGATTTGGTGCTGTTCAGAGGCTACTTAGAAATAAAAAAATACAGAAGTCACAGAAAAGATATGATCTGATGTAGAGGTCTGCAAATAAGAGTCGCTCCGAGTATCAAATATTAAATGAACTGCGGTAAATATGCTCACTAATATTTAGCAAACACGTCAAGAGCAGAATATTTACCTGGAACCTTGCCATATCTTTGAGGGAGAAGAGGCGCTTCCATCGTTTTGCTGGTGTAGCTGGGCGAGCTAGTTTGACTGAAACTATCCGAAGAAACGTTACTATCCTGTCGTACGCTGATGGGTTTCGGCACCGAACTCTGAGAAACTGCGCTCAGAGGCGGCGGAAGATTCGTTTGAGTTGCCTTCGGCAATTTCTCCAGTTTCTCGCCGCTGCTCCTGTCCTTCCGCAGAATATGCTGCAGAATATTCCTCGCTCTATCCATCTCCGCCTCGTATTTTCCACGAGCCATCGCTTCCGATGATTTCTGCTCGGAATGCAGCCGCCTTTCCAAGTCTTGCGACGTTCTTTGCAGTTCCTCGTACCTAATCCAACCAAATACTTTTCTACCCTTTCATTGTATCGGAAAAGAACCCGCGTGATTCGAAACTTAAAATTAAAGGATTCTTTGATTTTTGAAAGATCTTTGGGTCCATCCGGTTAATACGACGTTCGAAAAGTAGGCAGTAAATACACGAATTTCTACTTGGGTTATTACTGTGATCTCTGGAAATGGGTCCCTGGCTTACGTGCTTAGTCAAGTAAACGATCTTAAAATTGATATCTCAATTTCGATGTCGACAGAAAATTAAAATAAATCATACGTGAATTGAAACTCTAAAAATTTGAAATTTAAAGACGCGAAAAATTTCAAAACTTGCAATTTGTAAATTTAAGAATTGTGAAATTTGTAAATTTAAGAATTGTGAAATTTGTAAATTTGAGAGTACTGGAATTTGTTAAAAATGTGAAATGTCTTACCTTCCGATAGGTCTCTCTTTACAAGAGCGAAGATGATCATCCTCCTCGTGCAGGCGTCTCTCCAGCTTTTTCGAGACAGCTTGAAGTTCCTCGAACTTACATCGTTTTTCCACCTCACGACGCGACCTCACCAACGCGGCGAACTTCGTCTCGTCCTCCTGCAGAGCTTCCCTTCGAGATGGGGTTATTTTATCCCGAGATTTCCCACCCGCTGTTTCCTCGCAACCGTTTTCTTCATTCTCCTTCTCCGTCTTCGACGAGTGAAGCCTGTCGAACGAACACGAGGAATGAAGAAGTTTGTACACGGCCCCTGAAGCACGTTGATTAAATTATCCCTCGACTTATTAAAAAAGTGCCGACAGAGAAATTCTTTTAAACGACAACGTACGTTGGTCTTAAAACCCTTTCAGGCTTTGATGTTTCCATCCCAGCTTAAGGGTTTCTAAAGTACTTTACGAGGACTTTGTTCTTGTAAAATACGCTTCCGGTGCATTGTCGTAGAATAGAACGAAAGGGTAGAGTGAAACGCGAGTACACGCTTTAGAAACATAAATTCTGCCTTGACAATGATGCTAGCTTCCTTTTAAAACGAGAATCTTTTGTACTTTGACATTTTTTAATTTCGTAAATTTATTTTAGAGTTTACTGTAAAACATATTCTTCACGAACGTTTCCAGGAATTCTTAATCCTAAGATATGAAAGACTGCAAAGCTCTTTAGAGACCTCTTCGCTGAAACACACGAGAAGCAGGAAATTAAGCCTGGCTTCCGGTTACGAGAACGGCAGACCACTTTAAAGAAACGTCTGCTGAGTAGACTCTACTCGAACATCTACTCTCGAGATTGAGTCGACCAAGTTCACGCTTCGTTTAGCAAGCTCGTCGTAAGCGTAATCGACCGTTAAGCATCTCGCTTCTAATTCGAGCGCTGCCCGGAACACGCTCGCGACTTACAACGAACCCGCTCGACGCTTCAAAAACGATCGCTGCTAATCAGTGTCACGGAAGAGGTTTCGAGAGATGCTTCACTTCTGTGCTCGTCGTCTTTCATCTTTTCTATTTCATAGATTCTCGACAAATTTTGAAATGTACAAGTTTTTCATGTGATCTTATAAAATTTCTTCACGTTTTTAGTTTCTGAGTTTGCTTTCAAATTTTCAAATTCCCCAAATTCTCAGATTTCATGAATTCCTCAAGTCTCCAAATTCAAAGACTCCCAAATACCTCAAATTCCTCAAATTCCCAAGTCTCCACATTTCCAAACTCTCAAATACTCCATATTCTCAAATTCCTAAATCTCCAAATTCCCAAACTCCCAAATACCCCAAATTCTCAAGTTCCCAAAATTCCTTAGATCCAAGCCTCCAAATTCCCAAACTCCCAAATACTCCAAATTCTCAAATTTCCAAAATTCCTCAGATCCAAGTCTCCAAATTCCCCAAATTCTCAAATTCCCAAACTCCCAAATTCCC